AAACGATATCTAACATGGCTACCAGAGCACCATTTTATTTGGCTACAAAAATAGTGGAGAAACCTTGCCCCTAATTCTCTCACATTTATCATTCGGCGATGTCATTTAAAAGGCCCCCCACATCCATTAGCTGGTGTAAATGGGGCTTAAGACATATTCCCCAAAAATGACGTTATGCAAATGAAGACCAGTTTGCACGCTTCGCTGTTGGTTTGGTTGGGTTGGGGTTTGGCTTGGGTTAACTGGTGGCCCTGCCTCGGACCCAATGTCCACCACTAACCAGAACAAATGTGCCAGGGACATGACGGTACGGTGGAGATTCCTACACTCCGGAAGAGCAGGCGGCGGAATGGCAGCTAATTAATAATACGAAATTGCGCTGCCGGGAACTGGCGATGAAAACCAAACATGGCTGCCGTTTCACAGTTTTCCGATTGCATGACAACCACGACGCGGATGCAGAGTGGATTCCGGGAATGGAAATGGCGGAAAACTGAGAGGGAGGGTGGCGATGATGATGATGATGATGAGAGGACTGATGCAGCTGAGAAAAACTGCTTGTCTGGGGTGAAAAGGTTACCCTAAACTCCTATACCAAATGCACTGAGAGGAAAGTCAATTGGGTTAAGGGGAAACTATCCAAAGGTGTTGTTACAATAAAGTATTGTTTAAATTAAGACTTAAAAAGCATGCAATATTTACTTTAAATCCCTTTAATAACTACTTGGGAAATACAAGCATATATACAGCAATTTAAACCAATTTTTTAGAAGTTGTTTATGCATAAATCATTTTAGAAATAATAAATTAGTAATATATCTTCGTAATAAAAAAACTCATGTATTTGCATAGTTTATGTATATACCTCTTTATTGGCTTTAAAAAATCATAGTGCTATTAAGTTTATATCTCTATGTCTTTTTCTAGTGCATATTTCATGCGGGGCCTCATCTAACTAACGGGAGGGGCCTCCGGAATGAGTGTTTTGGCCCTCGTATCGTTTGCGAAAATTGCTTAAAAATGAACCCGAAGCTCCGACAGTTGATGGATGGTCTGAAAAATTTGGCCCCCAACCGATCCTGTCCTGCTCCTCACTATATATCCAAACATAACATATATACCATGCCCATGCACCCATTTGTATGTGTATGTCTATATATCTAAGCCCACAACTATCATCGTGCGCGGCTAAGTGTTTGAAGGGGGCGTACCATGGGTTAAGAGTTCCTGGCGAAGCTTTAAAAATTTCATATCCATTTTAGTGCTTCTGCTATCTAGGAGCAGTGCCATCCGCTGCCTCCGCTTATTTCCATAGTTATTTTTCATGCATTTTCCCCAGGATAGTGGGAGCTATCATACTGTTGCTGCTGCCTTTGATGTGTTGTTTTCCTATATTTTTATTTTTTTGCACCACTCCATGTTTTGCTCCTTTTTGCTTGGGAGTGTGGAGTGTGCTGTGCATTTTTACGAGCGTTTTTTAATAAATCATGCGCCACGTAAGCTGACTTTCATGCAGAGGATACATTGCACTGTGTGTATATATGTTTATACATATATGTATGTATACATTTTGTGTGCGCCTGAGTGAGTGATTTGCATATGCTCTTGCCGGGTTTTCCCTACCCTCCGCCACCCTCGGTCAGGGCTGGAAAATTGCAGGCCACAAATGCAGTTTGGCCCAATTAGTTTGGCCGAAAATGAACTGAGGCGCAAATTGCTTCGCCTTCCATGAAGATGGATGCATCCACTGTCTTCGTTCGTCACATCATTTGGCCCGCCCTGGTTTTCCATCTGTCTTATATGTTCCACAAATCACTTGGGCCACACACACCCACCGCCCATCGAAAGGGTCGTTAGTTTCGGGTTTTCCCCGGACACAAAAAAAGAGAAGAACACACCATTCTCCGTCACTCGCCATTGGGTGCAAATTAATACACTTGCGAGCCACGAGGCAAAATTGCAGAGCGATCTTGTTTCCTCCCCGTTCGTTATGTGTGTATGTGGGTGTGGTGTGTGTGTGTTGCTGTTGCTGCGGTTTTCCTGCTATCATGGGTTAAGGGGGCGGGTGCGGTCCAGGGTTAAGGGGTCTGGCTGCGAACAGAAACAAACGAGCAGCCAACAAAGTTTTCTCTGTTTTTTGTTGTGTTTTCACCCTCCGCACATGGCTTAATATGCAAAGTTATGGGTAAAAAGCGAAGAGATGTGGCAATATAGAGTTACAGTACTTAATCTATAGTCATAAATACTATACATATAGAATTTAGTTTAATAAATGGATAATAACTCATACTTAACCATTGCTGTGCCTAAATTTATGAAATATTTCACCTTAGTCCTAAAGATTCTATCCATTGCTGGTTTATACAGCATCTCTTCAAAATATAATTTTCTGACTTTATACATCAAAGAAAGGAAACTTTACAGCTTCTTGAAACTTACAAGAGAATTCTCTAAAGCATAGTAAGAGTTTTCCTTTTGAAATTCCTTTCCTAGACATTTCACTGTAGTTGTTTTCTTTCTCTCCCTTCCTACAGCTGACGCTTGTTTAAGCTGACTTCAATTGTTGGGTATTTTTATAATAATTTTTGGAATATTATTATTAATGCTAGCCAAAAAGCCGGCCCCACTTTGCCTCCTTCCTTCCGCTGCAATCCACTAAAGTGTAGCATACTTCGGGGTCGCTCGTAAATATCAAAAAATATATAATATATGTATGTGTCTGGTGTGTGTAAAAGTGTGTGTGGCTGGCTACACGTTTAATTAAAGAACGCCAGCTTTTAGCTCGATATAATAAACTGGAATATATACAGGAAGGGAAAGAGGGAACGGAAGCGGCAGCAGCAGCAGCAAGGAGTTTTATGAATTGCCATGACAAGCCCGCAGGTCCTAGTTCGCTTCCCTGGCCCCGTTTTTCTCACATTTTCCCACATTTTCCCCCCGCCAGCTGCCCCGCTCAACCCATCAAGTCTAGTTACAACATTTCAATTAAAAGTTAAACGTGCACGTAATTATGCGGACTACAAGGAAAATGTGTAAGTAATATTCCGTTGCCGCATGGCGAAAAATTAATTAACCAAACCAAAGCTCAAAGCAAAAAAAAGAGAACATGCCTTGCTGAAAATTAAGGAAAAGAGAAAAATCCAAAAATCTCGACACGAAAATAAAACCTTTTCTTTTTTTGCTGGGCTCCCGGCGATTTTCGGTATTTTTTTATTTGGTTGAAAGCGTTCGTGCATGTGATTGGGTTTTTCAAAGCCCATGCTTAACCCCGTTTCTTTTTTTTTTTTTTGGGTCTCTCACTTTCGGGAATTAACACCCACACTCACAGAGCAGCGAGAAAAAAATACAAGATGAAAGCGAGTCTGTTAATTGATAATGTACAAAATTGAAATTGCACAAAAATAATTGAGTGGCAGGCAAACACAAGACCTTTCATCAAGAGCAGACTCCAGACTCTATATTCAAATCAACTGAAGGCCCGGCAACATTGAACATAAAAAGAAGCTGGAACAAGAGCATGCCAATTCCATTTAGCTTCAATGTAACATTCGATATGCCCATGAATTTCCAAAAACAATTCCTCAACTCTAGATATAGACAGATGAAAGTCGAGAGTGAGTAGAAGGGCAAGAAGGGAAAATGCAGACTAAATAAATGGAATTGATGGAGCACACACACTCTCTCTCTCTCTCGAAAATATAGACTTACACACAAACACCCCCACACTCGCACAACATGAATTATGAAACACGAGTAAGCTGCATTTGCAGAGAGAAAAATATTCAAGAGGTTAAATAAATAATAAATCGTATATAAATTTTGATATACGAATTTGATTTAAAATAAAGAGTAGATTTAGGACTTTCAAACCTACATTTGGTTATTATAAACTTAATATATAAATCACCATTACTTCCACAAGGAAAACTCTAATTTCCTGAACTTTTCCAGCACCATTTTCCCTTGTGTAGACTCACACAAAGAAAACTGGCATGTGCTGGTGAGAGATTTAGAGAACAAAAAGGGAGCAAGTGGATTGAACAGCGATTAGGGAAAGCAAACACAAGAATTATGCAAAGAGCCACAAGAAAGGAATGCCACGTTAGGAGGGGGCAGTGGGAGGGACTCTGGATTAGGGTTCAGAAAATCCGGGGAAAAAATCCCAAATCGGGGTCGAGAATTGATAACAGTTTGCAGTTCAGTGCTGGAAACCAACAAACAAGCAAAGGAGACAAACAGAAGACGAATAAGCAGACGAAAACAACAAAAACAAATTTAAATTTTGTCGACAGCCAAAAGTCGTAAAAATTTAAATATATTTGTTGAATGCCCACACACAAACATACTGGAATTAATACAGTGGAAACAGGCCTCGGAAGTTTATTCACACGTAAAAGATTACCTAATACATATAATGAAACTGGTTTTAGAGGTAATAAAATAAGATTAAGGGTTTGTTTTTTAGGTAGATTATAGTTAGTAAGAGAAAGGTTCATAATTTAGGGAACTTCTTATTAAATTTCACTGAATAAAAATACTTAACTCCTGTGGACTTTATTAAAACTGATTAGAAAAAGAAACAGTAGACTTTCCTTAAAATAAATATCTATAAAATGGTATACAGTTGACTTTTAGCATTGTTTAAAAATAAATGAATGAATTGTAGAAAAAATTATTCATATTTTGGATGTAATACTTTCATTATTGTATTATAAGAAGAACTATGCAAGACTCAATTTAAGATCTTAGTATATACTAACGGATAATGATCCCCTATCTAATCAAATATTAAATAAAATATATATTATTGATAGAAAGCTTCTACCTTATCGACTGCCCACTGTATGTATTTCTAATGATCGCGCCTGAGCTCGCTTTGTTTATCAGCTCACACTTTGCTCTCGGCCCACAAACAACGAAAAAAAGAACAACAATTACGACCACGTCTCAACCTTCGACAAGCTAACAAGCTCCCGCTCAGCGCTGAGCTCAGCTTCAGCTTTCAGTTCCCAGTCGACACTCGAGCGGCGAACAGCTCCAACGGAATCGAGAAAATATATATTATAAGAGCGACTCAAGATGATCATCAAGACCTTGGCGATAGTATCGCTATGCCTGGCATCCAGCATCCAGGCTGCACCCCAGCAACCCGGAGTGCCCAAGAAGCACTTGGTCTGCTTCTACGACTCGGCCAGTTTCGTCAAGGAAGGTTAGTTTGTAACTCATTTGTAACACAATTCAAAGGTTATCTAATACCTCGGGAAGTTGCTAATTAGTGGGGAGAAAATATGGAAACGAAATCGAAAACAAGCAAGCGGTCGAGCTTATCAAGAAATTCTTGGAAATCGCTGTTAGAAGTTCGCTATTTACTCAAGTCGGATGTGCGAGCGATAAGAGACGTGCACTGCGAATAAATTCGGGGATTTCTATATAAATAACTATGTTGAGAAGATAAGAAAACAATAACCTCTTCCAGTTAATACCATCTATTATTCAATTCATATTTTTTAATTTAGTTAAGATAACACTATCTACTGACAGTGCCCAAGTCTACTAACCTCTCTGATTAATCTAGGTCTTGGCAAAATGGTGATCGATGATTTGGAGCCGGCCCTGCAATTCTGTGACTATCTGATCTACGGCTATGCCGGCATCGAGCGTGATTCCAACAAGGCCGTGAGTCTGAACCAGCAGCTGGATCTCGATCTGGGCAAGGGTCTGTTCAGGACAGTGACACGCTTGAAGCGCAAGTACCCACCTTGAAGATCCTGCTCAGTGTGGGCGGTGACAAGGACATTGAGACCGACAAGGATGCCCAGGAGCTGCCCAACAAGTACCTGGCTCTGCTCGAGAGCTCCACGGGTCGCACTCGCTTTGTGAACACTGTCTACTCGCTGGTGAAGACCTATGGCTTCGATGGCTTGGATATTGCCTGGCAGTTCCCCAAGAACAAGCCCAAGAAGGTGCACAGCGGATTGGGTAGCATCTGGAAGGGTTTCAAGAAGGTCTTCTCTGGTGACTCCATTGTGGATGAGAAGTCTGAAGAGCACAAGGAGCAGTTTACTGCCCTGCTGCGAGATGTGAAGAACTCTTTCCGTCCGGATAACCTTCTGCTCTCCACCACTGTGCTGCCCAATGTCAACTCTTCGCGTGAGTGGAATTGGATTCTAAATGAATTAATACCTTAATTAATCTCTATAATCCCGTAGTGTTCTATGATATCCCCGCTGTGATCAACTACCTGGACTTTGTGAATCTGGGAACCTTTGATTTCTTCACACCTCAACGCAACCCCGAGGTGGCTGACTTCAGTGCACCGACCTACGAGCTGAGCGATCGCAATCCCGAGTTCAACGTGGATGCCCAGGTCAAGTACTGGCTACGCAACAGCTGCCCCGGAAGCAAGATTAATGTGGGAGTTGCCACCTATGGTCGTCCCTGGAAGTTGACCGATGACTCTGGAGACACCGGACTGCCGCCCGTTTCCCATGTAAAGGATGAGGCCCCCGTGGGTGGCAACACCCAGGTGCATGGCATCTACAGCTGGCCAGAGGTGTGCGCCCTGCTGCCCAACAAGGACAATGCCTACTCCAAGGGTGCAAATGCTCCACTGACCAAGGTTCAAGATCCTGCCAAGCGTTTCGGATCTTATGCCTACAGGGCAGCCGACAAGAAGGGTGACAATGGCATCTGGGTGAGCTTCGAGGACCCCGACACCGCCGCCGACAAGGCTGGATATGTGCGCCAGAACAACCTGGGTGGAGTGGCTCTCTTCGACCTGTCCTACGATGACTTCCGAGGACTCTGCACCAACGAGAAGTACCCCATCCTGAGGGCTGTCAAGTATCGTCTAACTAACTAAGCGGACACCAATATCTGATTTCCACTTAATTGACCATGTGAAACGTTATGCTTTGTCACGGAATTATTTGTCCTAACCATTTTTGTAATGTCATAAAGAACGAAGCTTAGAACATGTCTGAAATAATTGCTTGAATTAATGGTGGAAATTGAGCTTGATTGCACGTTAAAGAAAGATTATTAGAGTAATTGGTCTTAATTACATGGGAGTGTGTGTATACAGAATGATTATTGATCAAAAGTTCATGAAAATAAAAAGGATATATGGATAGGAAGTCAATATATATATTTACACAAGAATCGATATTTATGTTGTCTCAAATACCCATGGGGTTTTCCTGATCTTTATAAGCCATTCAGCCATTACCTTAATAAATCAAGTTAACTTTGTTTTTTTGCTCAGCATTCCAAGAGCTTCTCACATTATAGAAATTCATATAAATATTCCATAAAAATTGCCCTGTTCTCCATTTGTTTCCACTGATTCTCTCATATATCGATTGCCATACATGTTCGACATTAATTTTCCGACTTCCCTTGCCTTCGTAAAATAACACAATCACCGCCTTTCCCCGCGGGAATATTTAGGCATTCGCTGTGACTGCTGAGCCTCGGGCTTCGTGCCCTGATGAATAGGCGAAATCCAATTGACTTTGACAGAAAATACGTAATGGGCTTCATCATTAAAGCGTTCAGACCAGACCAGACCAGAGTGGCTGGAAAAGCCGGCAACGAAAGCACCAAATTGACTGCTCAACATTTGTCATTCGAGCGAAAACGTTGAAAATTTCGCATACGCAGCAAACGAGTATCGACGAGCTTCAGAACGTTCTGTTCTGTTGGGTATAGGAAAAACCCAGAGTGTTATGCACGATTTCACAACTACAACAAATGCCAGACAAAGGCACAAAAAGGCCCTCGAAGGGAAGAACAACAACAACCACATCGTGGTGTGTGTGTACGCACACACAATCCGAATGGAATAAAGCGGCTCCGAAAGAAGTGAAATGAAACGTGCAATGGCCGGGATGAGAGCGGCTCTATCTCTACTGGTTTTTCCTATTCTATTTGCACCCCCTTCTCCAAGGATATTAGAAAGCATTTACCTATCCGCAGGCCCCATTACACAGGCACACATATACATGTACAAAGCATATATACATATATATGTATATGGCAGGTTGGAATAGGATCCGACGAGCCACGACGACAGCCTAAACAATTTTTAAAGGTAAACTTTGCCCACAATTCTCTATTTACAGTTGAACTTGCACGAGGGGAACTTTTGTTGATGTTTACTATAACCTTTGAAGGCCTTTTGGGTTGGATTATGTAAGATTAAAGAAGCCTTAAACAAAAGCTATATCCAAATAATAACAATGGAGAGTTTGAATTTCCATACAGCACAGAACTAGTTTATAAAATGCTCAGAAATATTATTCTTTTAATTTTCAAAAAAAATAAATATAAATATATATAGAACATAAAAAATATACAATACTTCTTTCAAGTAAATACTAACTAACAATTAGCTTAAAGTAGCTGTAACCACCAAGACTAATCAATTTCAATTAAGCAAAAGCATAGCTCGACTGGCGTTCCTCTTACCAAAGCTCAACTGTATTTCGTTTCCATTTCTTCTCATGCCCAAAAAAACAAGGGTATTCCATTTAAGGATGCTGCGGGGAGGGCAGGAAAGGGAAGGGCGTGCTGCGGGGATTTGGCACTTCAGGCACTCTTCTTTATGTATATTTGGCCTCTCTATGTATAGTTAAACGCTTTGGCCAACATTGCGTATGAGTGCTAGAGCACGCATATTGCGCATACGCCCCGTAAGCCGCTATCGAATAATTCCGTGCCTTAGTCCGCAAACTGCTGCCTCTACTCTTTATACTCAAATAATTGGATTAGTGTTTCAACGCCCTGCACAGCAGGCAAATATTCCCCAAAACCAACGTCAGCCCGCAGGGATCTGCGTTCTGTATGAATTTGTTTGTGCTCGTAGTTTTATTTGAGATTTTTTTCCTCTTTGCGGGATTAGTTTTCCACTGCTTTTCCACACACACACACTCGCGATGCACGTTTATATATTTATATATATTTTTGCAGCCTGCGGTGGGTGTTGTGGAAACGAAACAAATTAGGTTTTATGTTATTTGCTGGGGTTTCCTAAATATTTAAATATTTTCATATTGCCTTGCCAGGGAAACTCATAAAAGGAAGCCCAGGAAAAAAGGAAACATAAAGGAAACTTTTCAAAGTAGAATTAAGTTGTTTAAAATGATTAACTGCCAAAGATTTACTTAAAGGATTTTTCACTTTTCAAAACTCAATTTGATTGATTCGTCGAGGGGAGAGAAACAGATCCGGCCTGGCAGTTGTAAAGCCATTAGCCCAAATCCCCAGCTTCTGCATTTTGAGAATTTTGTTTGCTGAAATATAAAAATAATGTATCCCGGGCTGAAAGGAGCACAACTTTTACCTTGGAGCAGCGGCAGCAGCAGGATTCACCAAGGAAATACAAACAAAAGCCAAAGTAGCAACTTTGAGTGCAGGGGAAATGGCATTGCCCATAACGAATATGTATTTTTGATTCCCCCTGCTAGGAGTATTATTGTTGCTTCTGTTGCTGTTGATGTTGCTGTTGCCTCTGCTGCCAACTCGTAACAAGTTAAGCAACTTTGGACAGACATCAGAAGTTGCCGGGCGGATTTTCGTTCAGGCAGCTTTGGGACTGTCAACAGCTGTGCCCGGCAGCTGAAAATCCCCGAAAGGGGGATGAGCATATAGACTTGAGCTTGTCGCAGACTGTTGTTGGAGCTTTGTTTATGCCACCTCGCATAGAGCATAACTCAAACAGATATTAGAAATTACTAATCGCTTGCCAAGTTGTGAGTGGGGGGAGAGAGACAAGCCTTTGTGCTCTGCAGGTAACTAAACTTTGATTAAGGAACTACTTTAATTAGCTATATACACAAATAATGACCCAAATTCTTTCCTAATTAAATAACAAAAGTTACCTAACCCAAGTTAGTTGGTATATATTTATTTCACAAAATCAAAGTACAACCAACTTCTACTTTAACTCTACAGTTGTGCAACTCCTTAAACATATATCATTGGCGCAGCCCTTTCAATTTTCCGCAAAAACTTTACACAATTTCGCTGGGGAAAACGGGAAAATTCTCCGCGCCGGCCATTATCTGTTCCCACCACGCACACACTCATGTGCAAGTGTATGTGTATGTGACGGGGAATAGCTACATTTATGGGTTCCAGCAGCAGTTGGCTTCCGCCTTTCGAGTCGGCAAATTGCCAATGTTGTTGTTGCAGCGGGTAGGAAATGCTTTACTTGATTTAGCTGCTAAGTGCAACTTGAGGCGACGCAAGGATGGAGACAGGATTCGAGGGGGGGCAAGGATTTACCACGCCACGCCGCATGTTGCCAGGAACCGGCAACAATTTGCAACGGCCGTGCGGCCTTTGCCGGGGATTTTTCGGCAAAGAGTGCTGCCATAAATCCCCTCGGCGCTTGTAAAAACAATTATGCCAGATATTTACGCCGCAAAGAGGCGATGCAACACAGAGCAACACAGAGCAACGGCAACAGAAACACAACCAGCCGGCGAAAATGTGCTGTTAACATTTTTGGCTTTTAATTGCAGTGTCAAGGCCCGCTTTTCTGCATTTTCCACTGCTTCCTCTTCGGCTCAGCCATTTGCAATATGGGGCGTATACGTAATATATCGCATGTGTAATAAATGTGCGCGATTTAAGGCAATTCACACCAGAATTGCCCCGAGAACGGTGTAATTATGAACTTTTAATTAAAACGTAAAACAAATGGCGAAATGAAAGAGGATTCGATGGCATTTGCAGCAAGTTGAAGGAGTTCTAGGTGAAAAGCAGAGAATGGTTTAGCTAAAAGGAGTAGTTTTCCTCGATTCAGGGCAGCAGCAGCAGCTGTCGGCAGATTGGAAAACCCATCGACAGTCTCGAATGTCCATTTGCGGAGCCTGCCTGTCTCTCCTTTTCTCCACGTTTTTCACGCCGGAAAACCCTTTTCCATTTCCCCCTATTGAGCACGTGTCTCTGTGTGTGCGGGAGTATCTAATTGCTTGTCAGTGTATGGGAAAAGTTTGTACGTGTTGAGCACAGGCGGTCATAAAACTACAAAACGTGTTGGCAGGATTAAGTGTACAGTTGAAGAGATTGGGTAGATAATTTAAAAGTTTACTAAACTAGAGGAAATCCCATTGAAATTCCTTGTTTTTAAATAAATACTTAACGGAACTCAGTTAAGTTCATTCCTTTTCTATCAAATATGCTACACAATTTGCAAAACCCATTTCAGTTGGAATACTTTATGCTTAATGCCATCTTTTCCTAGTATAAAACTTAAGTATCAGTGTTTTCTATGTCTATCACATTCATGCCTCTTTAAATATTCTGAATATCCCTGAGGCTCCTTGACTATCTGGCCATATAACTAACCAAGGCCATAACTTTGGCCTTAACTTCCTCCCAACTTGAGCATAAATTTGCAAGCTCATCTTTGCGAGGGAAACGACTCTTAGTTCTAATAGCTCATACTGCGAACGACACTTTTGTGGCCTGTACGTGAGAACGAGTGTTTGCCTTCGCTTTTCCACCTCCCTGAAGTTGACTTCCCCCCTCGGAAAACCTCTGCTGAATATGTGTGTGTTTGTGTGTTTGTATTGACAGGCGCGCACATTCCCTTTCACGGCAAACATTCCGTTTCTGGAGTCACGTTCAGGCGCTTTAAGCGGCTTCATGTTCTCGGCGTTCCGATGGGGAAAAACCTTTGAATGGGGTTACAAACCAAAGTCACGGGATGGCATATAGCCATGGTAACCGCGGTGTTAAACAAACATAACTAAAGCCAAATTCACACACACACATTGGGATAAATATCCTGCACGGGTGTGCTTAAGTTAACCGCAAAACACGGAACCCCAACTTCTGGGAGTCTTGGAAATTATTTAAATGGACTTACGTTATGACGCTTCCTTTCACGCTCGGGAACGGGATGCCAGCTGAACTGCAAGTTCCAGTCGAAACCTCCCACATTAACGCCACTGGAATCCCGATAGTGATATTCCAGGGTCTCATCACTGATGACATCTATCACGGGACATACAACTGTTGTGGAATTGCGAGCAATTCGATCCAAAAGTGGTTCCAGCCAGCCTGTAAGGAAATATACATAAATATATGAATAATATTTAATGTTATTAAACCACAAAGTAACTGAAAACAAAGTCTTTAACTATCAATACTTTCTTGAGGAAAACCTAGTACTCAAATTTGATTTAATAACTAAAAATCTTAACAAGTATTCATCTACAGCTTTTGTTGAATAATTAAATTGCTTCTCCAGCAAACCCATCAGTCACTAAAGTTTCCCGAATGAATATTCTCCCTCCTTGACTTTACTTTTGTGTACTTTTTGCCAAGTTTCTCAATAAACTAAATTGATTGCCTTTTTCGTAGGTTTACTTATCGCCAGCTTCGACGGCTTAATAAAGGCAGCAAAATGAGAAACAGTACCCCGGGAAGAGGACGAATCAGAAACAGAAACAGACTGGGCCTAATGCCGCAGATTAAGTGATTTTTCTAGGGCTGGGCCTCTTGTTTTATTGGCATCGTATTCGGCCCAACGGATTTGCTTTGATGGCCATCAAAATTGAGTATCGCCAAGAACATTACACTCGACAATAAACGAGATACGACAGAACAGGGGTTTTATTTGGAAGGGAAAAATCTCGGCGGCATTAAAAGCTGCCATTTGATTTCGGTTTATCGTCACTGGCATAAATTAAAATATTCATTTTGCCTGCATTTTTTATGAAAGCCTCCCCAAAAAGTTCCCTAACAAAAGTTGGTAAGTCAATTAAGAGCGAATTTTCGGCTTTATTTGCCCAATTAGCATATGGTCGATATGGCAAATTGAAAGCCGGGTTTCCAGCCGAAAAAAGTTGTTGGTATACTTTTGGGCATTTCGCATATTTAATTCAATTAAAACTCACCTTCAGTGCACTCGCAATGGGAGTCCAAATAAGTGAGTACCGCGGACTTGGCATGATTGGCACCCAAAATTCGAGCTCTGATCAGACCCTCTCGCTTCTGACCTCTGATAATCTGGACCTTGGGATAGGGCTTGAAATAATCCTCCAATTGCTTCTTCAAATGAGCTGTAAAGGGGGGAAATTTTAGTTAATTAAACCTGGTTAAAACTAAGAGATCGCAATGAATACTCACGCATATCGCTGTAGTCATCAACCAGGATAATCTTTCCAATCAGATGCTCTGGAGATCTATCCAGCACGGAGTGCACAGTGCGCAGCAGCACCGTCCAGGCTTCATTGTGGAAGCATATAATGACATCGGTTTTGGGCAAATCGGATCTATATTGCGCCGAATCCTTGCACCAGGCATCTCTAGGATCTGGCAGCGTTCGATGAACTGAGATCAAATCGGAGACATACTGGTTGAAGGCATTCTTGGTCCAGCCATCGTCCACAGCCTTCTTCATCTCCTCGGGCATTTCCTTTGGCAGCTTCACCGGTCTGCCCATCTCGCCAGGATTGTCATCAATGTCGCCCGGCGGCTCAATAACTTTGTTAGTATCTGGGAAAAAGTAATGGAAATAAGGAAAATGTTACATTACTTTACATTTGCCCTGAAATTGTGAGCCAAAGGTGAGTGGAATGAAGATAAAGCTTTGTTGTGCGTGAAATTTACGACAAAATACACACACACAAATATCCCCTTCACACCGCCCCAGTTCCCGGTGCATTGCACATGAAAAGTTGCCATCGTCAGAGCTGCTGCTCTTTACAGGGTCATGAAAAATCGTTTGCCTTGCAAATTTCCTTCCTCCTATGCTTCTATTTCCCCACTTTTCACACCCCTCACAAGCACACACATGTGTGTGTCCTATGTCCTTGCTGTGCTGTGCATTTTATTATTTTGTTATTTGCATTTGCATGGAAATATGATTTCTCCAGTTCTCTCAGCTGCTGCTCCCAGACAGATTCCACCCAAACACAGAGTTCCTTTTCAGGGAGGCTTCTGCTGCTGCTTTTTATGCGATTTGTCAGCCACAAGTGACACTTATTGGGCATCGCCTGACTGCCAGTCTTTCTCTCTGTCCTGGAGTCCTGTATTGTCGTTGTCCTTTCGAAAACGGGAAAACATTAATGGAAATTTCTCGAGGAATGACATGACAAAACACAACCTGAGTGTTGTGCTTATGGGGATTAGGAATTTAATTAAAAGTGTTTCATCAACTAGAGGTAGAGGTTTTCTAATTTCAGTAGGATTAAGAGAGATTTAAAGGAAAAGTTATTTCAACATGTTCAAAGGAAATCGAATTTAGTCGCAAATGTACATGAATACTTTCTAATCTCCTGTGGCTGAAGGGTAATAATCCTTCCCAACACGTAAATTTAAGACAAAAGATCTCTAATGAGTTTATTATTGTTTATAAAGCTTCAATAAAACCCTTTCCGATCGATGATCGTTGTAAAGTTTTGGCAACCTGAACCGGTCCAATTAAAAGGCATAAAAACCTTAAGGGACTCGACTTTATTAACTAGTTTCTTTCTTTCAACTCAACTCATCTCTCTTCTTTTTTTTGTGAAATGCGCTTACAAACCTTCCGCTTGCCTCATTCTTTTCCCAAATTGGGAAGCATATTTCTGTGCTATTCCCAGACTCATTCCCATTCCATTTGGTCAACTTCCAGCCATGCAAAAACATTTCAATTACCACAATCATTTCAATTTCAATAAGCATAAAAAGCTGGCTGGCAAAAATAAAAAGCCATAAAAGGCTAGGAAAATAAGCAGGACGAGTGGAATGTCCCACAAGGAGGGGAAGCGGGATCCCAACCGCATTATGTTAGCCCGGGAAGGGAGAGAGGAGCCTAACCAAGAGGCCAATCAGCCGACAATAAATTTGTTCGCACAAAAATGGAAAATAAGAGAAAAACCATTAAATCGCCCAGAGGCGGCGCCTTGAAAGGCCAGAGAGGGGGAACTGCAACTGGGGAACTCATAAATTTTATGATTTGTCGCCGGTTGCCGTAGTTACAACTTCATTGCGGAATATTCACGCGTGTGCCAAGTCGAGTTTTCGGTTCTCCTTGCATCCCCGCATCCTTAGCCCTGCCTAGTCCTGCGTCCTGTTTCCATCCTTTAAAAACCCAAGCCCACACCCCGTTCGTAATGAACTTTTTTGCATGCTGGGCCTGCACACGCATCATCATAATAAAAAACAATAAAAACAAAAAGTATAAATAAAGGGCGGGATGGAGGGACTGTAACTGGATTTTATGTCTTTTATTGATTCACTGTAGCATATTTATGGCCTCTTTCGATATTAATGATTCCGCCCAGCGGCGATGCTCCGCTCTCGCTTCCCTTTTATCGCCAATCCCCTCCTGCTTGCCATCCCGAGGAGTTCCCGGCGAGGTAACCCAATTATGGTCACGCCCTTTTTGGACAAAAGGTGAGCCCAACAAAGTTGTATATTATGTGAAATGCTATAAATCCCGGATAATTCCCGTCACGGGAGTAACTTATTTTGCAGTCCTCTAAAATTGCGAACTTATATACATTTTAAAAGAGTTTAAAATGCAATTAATAAATCAATTTGAATCCAGCTTTTGTACACAAAGCAAACTGATAATAGATTTATAATCTGATTAAATGTTTGCAGTGGATATTTTGTTTATTAAATTGTTTTCGGTGTATTTGTTCAAATGTTTTTTTTGTTGTATTAAACACAGTGAATTGAATTTAAGAAATATATAGTTTTTATTTGGGATTAAACTGAATGATTCAATAAACCAAATATCATGAAATATTTAACATCTTTATATTTATTTATTACTTAATTTATTATCTGATTAAATGATTTTAATCGAAATTATATAACCAGTTTCCCAATTAAAATATTCAAATGTCTTTATAAATATCTCTTTACCATCTTTCCTGTATTGCATTTTATATTCCTCAGTAGTTAAAAACATAATCAACTTAAGTGATAATTGATCATTCAGCTGTCAACTTTTTCCTCTCAACTTTCGTATCGATTCACCTTTTCCAACTTTTTGTGCATTTAGGAAATCGAAATTGACAATATTTGTCAAGTTTCAACACTGCGTATACGTTATATTTCCATTTGCTGGCATCTGGCACATGGAAGGGGGGTGGGTGGGTGACTTTTGGGTGGTAAGAGGAGGACCTACAGGAGGTGGCCTTCAAAGTGCAGAGAATGAGAGCTTCCATAGCGAAGACAAAAGGAGACAATCGCAGCGAACAGAGCTCGAGGGACACGCCTGAGCGTGACAGGAAGCTATAAATGTTTTGTTATAGACAGCGACAGCAGGTGGAAAATGGGGGCGGAGAAGGAGAAGGACACTCTACGCTGCGCTGCTATCCTGTCGAGCTGGAGAGGGGGCGTGGCCGCATGACAAATACCTTTGTGTGTATGTGAACGGAAGGCGGCTGACATATCAGGCTGTTAGCCTGGTGAGCTGCGTGCATGTTTCATCATCATGTTTGCCGCATAAAAGTAACATAATATGCCAAAGTGCCGTTATTTCGCAGAATATTGGAAGATTTTCCGCCAGTGGGGAGTAGGGGGATTTTCCCATGTCCTTTACTCATATACAAATACCACATATCCTGCGTGTGGGCGATAAATAGCAATAGACATGCGAACAGCAAAAGAGAATCTAGCCCTGGGATTAGCATTGATTAAAGCCCAGCAAAAAAACATAGGAAGGAAAGAGGTAACATGAGAAAAAAAGAACTTCAGACGGACAAAGCAGGCAAATCAATCTGGCCCAAAATGGGGCGTAACCATATTGCCATGTATATATAAAATCATTATCGCTGCTAAATTGTAAAAACAAGAATTATGCATATATGAAGAGCAGGCCAAGTAAAAAAACCAAAGTCAAGGAGATCGGAAGGGGAAAAGGTGGCCAACGATCAAGATAACATGGCCAGAGGGCAGGTTTCAATGCACTGTAGAAAATATATATAATAAAATAACTATTCCAAAGTTCAAATGATTGTATAAGACCTATTGGTTATTTTATACCCTTGAATGGTGTTATAATTTTAGTCAGATGCTTAAAACGCAATGAAGGAGTCATTTGCGACCCTATTAATCATATACATTCTTGATCAGCATCAAAAGCTGAATTGATCTAGCGTTTGCCGATTGAAATGTATCAATTTTGGCTTAGTTAGAATTGATTTGCGATCTCGCAAGTTCGAAAGTTCCGGAACTTAGCTTCTTTCTTGTTTTTTGATTAAAATTTATAAACAAATTGATCAAAAATGATTATTCTTTTCACTGTACCACATTATATAGCATGGAGCCCTTACAAAGTGGGGGAATTGGGGCTTAGTTGCCTTAAGAACCCGATGCGAACGCGCGATAAACGTCGTGTTGCAGCCACGCTCTCTCCGGACTCCGGACTCTCCCCTCTTCAGTTCTACCGATCTCTCCGCCTTGGTAACTCTTCCCATTTTAGCCATTTCGGTGGTGGTAACGCGCCCCAAGGCCAAAGCCAATAAGTACAACAACACTAATTACCAGCTATGAACACAGTCCGTAGGAAATGCAGGGGAGACTGGTCCCTATGAAGGAGTATGTATGCCACCGTGGTCACTAAAGTACAGCCCCCCTGTTGAGAGAGTGGCCATAAAATCATAGTCAGACTTGGAAAGGATGATCTATTTGTGGCTCTACCAAAGCTGCTGTAAATACTAGCCTGGGTCTGAGCTGTATTCCAAAGCAATATAGTTCCAGACCCATAAAACAAAACTTAATGGGTTGCTGTCTAGAAAGTCTGTAGAAGATTAAAATTAAAATGACTGGAGTGGAAACATGTTTGGTATAAAACTTATACCATTTCATATGATTTGTAATACAACTAGCTTGGGTTGAAGAACTTGAAAGACATTTAAGAACCTGCTAAATTTATTTTTATGTCTTGAAAGCTTTTGCCGTCAGTCTGAAAGTATCTCGAAAGTATGAGGTAACCTAAGGCCCCTAGCTTTAGATAGAGATAACATACTGTTTCAAGTATCTTATATCACAAGAAAGTAGGTCATAAGGTTATTATATATTTGCTTGAATCACTGCAGAAATTCTTTAGATAACTTATACGTCAGAGAAGTTCCTTAACCTTAGCCTAATTTATATAGAAATCATATCCAATACCCTAATATATCCCATTATTTGTATTGCTTCACTGTGCCTGATAATCAATAGGTGGCCCTGTGTGAGACCCTTTTGCCTTTGGAGTGTTGGTAAACGTTTGTAGGCTTGCACACAATTTTGACGCCATGGGGCAGCTGCTGATGCCTCCGATGGCTGCAAAGCCTCCTAAGCCTACGATTGTTGCACAGATCCACAGACTGTCGACTGGCCAAAGGATCGGGGACCAACTTGTAGCTTTGCCACCTCAAAGCTGATGAGCAGATGCTGGCCCACGACAATGGCGAGGATGATGATGATGATGATGATGGAGAACGATGATGAAGGAGCAGCGAGGAGCGAGAGATGCAAACATGATATGCGAAATTGCAAATACGTGCATTGTCTGCCAGGAAGGCTAGATCTCCCAGCTCTCCACCTTGTTTCTCCCTTTTTATTTCCTTTTATTCCCCCAACTGACCGACCACATGCTGATGCAATCTTAAATGCTTGTTCCACATGCGAGGCAATAGATGAAGGAGGGTCTTTCGTACAGGAAGCTACAAGGTACAGCACTGAGAGAAAAATCGAGAAATTAAATGTATATGTCGAGGCCTAAAGTTAAAAGTCTTTATCTAGAACTTCATGACTACTTTTCAGTTACAAATGCATCCTTCACTTACAAAATGTATTTCTTTTGATTCAAAGTTATCCTTGCTTAAACATTTTTTCTCTTTAATTTGTGTTCAAGAAAAAAGCTTAATAATATTGTGTTCAGTGCATTTTAGGCCCCCTTACAATTGCCATTACCCAGAGCCCCCTGAAATTCATGGCTGGTTGGCTTCGGTTGGCTTCATTGATTTGCCTGGGCGGCCAGTCAAGTGTCCATTGAGTAAAAATCGCTGGGCACCGGCTCCTCTAAGCCTTGACTTGACTTGATTAGTAAGTAACATTATTTCTGCCAGCCGCCGCCGAGGCTTAATGCGAATATCTATCTCCGCACCGCATGCACCGAGTGTGGGCCCCTCTGACCATCTTTTTGCCCCTCTTTGCTGACATTGAAAATGCTGTTTGGCAGCAAAATCCAAGTTGTTAAGTGCTGCATGCTGTTGTCTGCGTTGTTAGTGCTCGCCGCTGGCATCTTCGATATTGTTGTAAAACTTGTTAGAAATTTTCTTAAAGGCACAAAGGCGGTGGCCGAAAGAAGGAAGTGTGACAGCAGCAAGCTGCAAGGCAGCAAGTTTTCCAGCACCAAAGAGTGCGGGGAAATGGCGAACACAGGAAAGCAATATGTGTTATTATCCCCGTTTGGTTTGGCAACATCTTCCACCGGATCGGGCTGGTGACCCAAAATGCAATCCCCCAAACAAGGATTGGAGGATGTGTGACCGTAAAGAACGAGGAGCGAGAACCAGACTGAGGTGGCAGGAATGCGAGGGAAAATCAGCTCGGGAGGAAGGGGAGGATGTTGCGTGTGCATTGAATTGATGGGAATTAGTTGCAAGCGATTGCGTGGAAATGAAGTGCAAAAAACCCAGCTCGTTGATGCCAAAGGAGAGTGAGGATGGCGGGCTTCTTCTGCTCTTGCTCTATAAAGAAAAATAGATTTGCAAGCGTCGATAACAAGAGCGGAAAACGCCAGTTGAATAGCTCGATGGAAAGCGGGGGAAATTGGTGAAAATCGGGGCTTTGAGTTGGAAATAAATGTGCAACTGATTTCAATATAATGCTTATTGTTGGACACAGAACAGAGGGATATTCCGATATGCAAAGTGCACTGGGCACTAATGGAGCAAGAATCTGTACAGAATCGAGGGGAAATCAGCGCGAAATCTTAGGAAAATCTGGCCTTTTGTTGGGGTTTCCTTTACAAAATATTTGTCACAGAAAATCTAGGTGAAAAAGTCATCAAGGTACATACACTTTTAAACATACTTTACGAATGTAAATAGAAAAAGTAATTGTTTTATAAAATTAACAAGCAACCTTAAATAAAAGTTCGTTTAAGGATGTGCTATCAGAATTATAAAATTAAGTTAAGTAATAATTAATTATTAAATAAAATCTATTTCCAATCACATAATGCTTTAATTTCGATCAGCATTCAATATTCTTTTAAGAATCGTAACTGAACTAGGAAAAAGTGCGCAAGGACCTGTTATGGTTACTTTGTTCTTCATTTTGGCCCACTAAGAGGACTGGATAATTGTATAAAAATGCCATAGCTTCAATACTCTTAGTTCGCATTTTCCCCCGACTTGCCTAACTTTAATTATCACTCATTATGGCTCGCTCCACAGTATAAATGCAATTAATATGCAATTAAATCAAGGCAGACTCACCTTCAACGGGCTTGGCTTTCTGATGTTCCTGGGCTTTCTTGCGCAGCTTTTCCACCAGATTCTCCTTGTTCTTTCCCACTGTGGCGGGATGTCGGCCTCGTCGCGGACAGGCTTGTGTCTACCATCTGAACCGCCGATGACATTCCCATTGATGCCGAGGTCCTCGCCCGCAGGCTCGTTCCTTAGAGCCAAGGCAATGGGATCACCCAGTCCTCCTCCAGCTGCTCCTGGTCCTCCGCCAAGGGCACTGCCCGCCGCACTGCCAACACCCTCTTGGGAGGCTCTCCGCTGGGTGTCGTCCGTATAGAGCAGGAAGGCTATGCAGAACCAGATGGCCACCAGGAAGAAGACCAGCTTCACAATCGTCGTGGAACGTCGCCGCCAGATGAAGGCCATCTTTGGTTTGTAGGATTTGTGGTTTTGCTACTAGATGCCCACGACGACGACGGCGTTGATGATGATGATGATGATGATGTTGTTGTTAGTTCCCAGAAGGTGCTGATGTCTTACTCTCTCTTTTTGAGCTTTCACTTAGTTAGAGGCCCACATTGCGTATACGCAACATTAATCAAAGCCTGGCAATGATTTATGATGCAGGATATGTTTTTCTCGTTTTCCGATGGTTCTCTGCCTCTCTCTTTCTGATATGCCTTTGTGTCCTCTTGGAAGATATCGTCTATAGGTCTGCAGCCGTCTGTGGCTGTCAGTCAGTCTGAGCCGCCTGGATATGTGTGAATCGCTTGAAGAGCGTCTGGATTCTGTGGATGGACATGGGAATGGAAATGTAAAGATACTCATGAGTCTCGGTAGGACAAGGGCAGGTGAGTGTAATTAATTTGCGGCATTAAGCCATTAAATTGAAAAGCAAATCAAATAATTGAGCCATTAAAGATAATATTGATTTTTGATTTCTGCTGATGAAGCAACAACTGCCGCCGCATCTTTATCTCCGTCTAGAAGCCACTGAAGATGCAATTAAGCTCGTAGCTTTTTCAATCTCCGGCCTCCGGTACAAACATAAAGCGACAGGCAACATGCAACTAATGTCAATATTATATAATTGCAGCAAAAACCGCATCAGAACTTGGTACTGATCCCCGTCAGATCCCAGCTCTCCCCGCCGCCACCAACACCCATCACCCATACGCCCCGTTGCCGCAGCCACTTGAGTGGCTGCCAGGTAAATGACATGGACACGCCACTTGAGCCCCAAGCCAGCGAAACAGAACGGGGCAGAGTTGGTGGAGTCCATGCCCAAAGCAGGCCAATATGCCAGGCACTGGGAGGAATAATTGTCAAATGTAAAGCTATTTATTTGCAATAGCATTACTCTTTTGAAGGAGCTACGAAGTACTTTTAATAATGTTAACTAATTTAATTTTATGATACAATTTTTATATATTTCTTCTGATTTCTCGCAGTGCATTATAGAGTGGCTTATGGTGCGGAGCCCAAGTGGCAGAGAGCAAAGTTGCGTGTCAGGTTGGCGCAGCGCAGCGCATCCACCGTCCAAGGAATGAAACAGAAAACAAGAAATTGTGGTTCCTCGCCTGCCTAACCGCAGTTGAATACCCTTCGATGCTAATCCAATTAGCGAGTGAACTGCCCGCGGAGTGGGTTATGTGAATGCCGTATGTGTTTGGGGTTGCATTTGATACTGGTTTCCCATTGAATTACTCCCAGGACTAATCCCTGACCCTGGCCAAGCAAAACAGCTCCTGTCAAAGTTGGGCGTTGAAATTCAATTTGCCACAATCTATTTACCAGAATTTCCCTACTGATTTTCAATTAGTAAAATGTTTTAATTAAATGTATTGATATTTAATTAGAGAAGCAACTTTTAAGTGTGTTAATTTCGTAAGTTAATTGTATTTAAATAGATTCAGCTGCAGATAAGACTATGAGTAAGAGAAATTACCAAAGAAAGTTTCCTTCATTTAAAATGATGTCACTTTTAAAGTCACAAAGCTATAGCAAGTGCAAATTAAACATTCAAGATAAATAAAATAAAGTACTAATAATTAAGAATTTCAAACAAACTTCTCGCCATGGCTAATTTTCCAAGTGTATCGCCGGTAGCCAAAGCAATTTGCATTATATTTTTTTCTTTTTTCATTGCCTTGGCCAGCCAACCGATTGCACAGTCTATTAGGGAAAATGTGTGTGTGTGGAGAAAAATGAAAATTAATAAACATTAGCCGGGGCCGTGATCGCAACTCATTCAAGGCTCCTTGACCACCAACCGTTGCAGTTCTGATGGCTCCAAGTAATCGAGTGCACATGATGGCCAGTGGCAAGTGGAAAGCCCCATAGGGAAACCCGGGAAAACCCTGGTTCAAAGGGCCAGGCCAACTTGCCAGCTTATCAATTAGAGTAGGTCTATAGGGAGAAAGAGACAGAGAGGGGGAAAAAGAGAGAGAGAGAGAGAACTATGCCCGGAGCCCTGATTTTCTGCAGAGCAAACCAACGATGGCAACTATGTGTGCATACAATAAATACAAGTTAATTACTTCGTGTGCCTTTTGTTATGGCTCGTTGGGTTCAAGTGCCATCCAGGCCGCCCCCCTTTGGCCCCCTGTGATTTTCCCCTACTATGCTATGCTATGTTGGCAATTTCCGTTGTATGCGCATCTAAATTGAAAACAATAGGAAAGCGGGGGAGACATTCGCTTGTTACCAGCATGTCATGTCCTCAGTCAGCTGTAAAAACAGCAACTCACACACAAAACCGGAGTTTGTCCGGGCAAAATAGAGCGATTAAAGTTGGCAGACAGGTCGGGCGAGGTAGTGGGAGTGGGAGTGGGACAATGTACACCCCGAAAAACCCAATGTTGACATTCGCAATTATTATTTCGGATCGAGCCAAAAATACACGATAATTGTCGGCGACACTTTCCATCAATTTTTCCCGTAACCAAAAAATTTGGTATTTATCAGATTCAAGCACACGTCGGTTCCAGTTGCTTATCGTTATATATAGAATTCCCGACAACTTATAATTGATGGCTTGTGTGCGGAGAATGTCTGATTATAAATTCGAGGTGGCAATTTCCAATTGCCTCTTAAATTTGTTTATTAATTAAACTACGCGTCTGTCGTTGCGGTATCGTTGGTATTGGTGACTGCGGCATACGCGGCGAATGCGCAATATTTGGCTTTCGGATTCCATTGGGGGATTGGGTTTGGAGTTTAAATTTGAAATGCGGCTAGTTTGGTAGTCATGGTTATCATAATATTTTATGGGATATGTACAATTCCCAATGCGTATTTAATGCCAGCCATTTATTTCGATTTTCCGGCTGCAGCTGCATTGGTTTTCCACCAAAAAACAACACTTATATTCATTAGCTGGCTCCTGATTAAATACACCAGTAAAATCAGGCTTATTTCGATTTTAGGAAGTGCCATTGCTATTTTTGCTACCTGCAGATTATTGCCCCACTCACAATTATTTCTCTGTTGGTCGAATTTATCGTTAAATTACACTATAGAACACTTGTAGGTGGACTGTTGCAATCGTAAAAATAAATATTTATGCCTGTAACATGTGTGGTGTAATTTAAGCCAAGAAAAATACTAGTACTGTGTGCTTATCAGCTTACAAACTATTTCGAAATGTTTTTAGTTTGCAACGTAATGAGTTGCGGTTTAGTTTTAGGCCCAAAAGTATCCCATTTCCTTCGTGATAATGTACTGAAACTTTTGGTTTTTCTTTCTTTCCCGCGATAAGCACAAAATAACCTGGAACGAAATAAGAGAAATAGAAAAGCCCAGAGAGGAAGTGACGGTGTGCCCTGATAAGTGTTTCCATTGTGGCGGTGACAGGCGCAGACTTCCCTCTTAATTTTCCCCCGTCCCAGGAGGCTACTTGTCTCGGCTTCACCCTCGTCACCTGTGCTTCTACCTGGGTTTTCGCTTCGTGTTGCGTCTTATCGCCCGGCTAATTGACTGATAAGCGTGTTGGCCAATTTGTGCCTTCCCTGATGAGTCTAGTTGGTGCCTCAGCCTCGTTCTGTACAGATAAGATACAATTAAGTCGAATGGCGGAGCACAGGTGGAAGAACAGAGGAAGAGGGAACTCGAATAGTTCCACGAAAATTACTTTTAGTTCGGCCTTAGTTCAACTTATCTATGCCACACATAAATCAGAGCTTTCAAAAAATAATTGCCTAGATAATTCGTAGAACACTTAACTGCAAATTAAAGCCGTAAAGAAAAGCATCGACTGTTGTTGCTCCTGCTGCTGCTGCTGCTGGTGCTTTTCCTGCTGGAAAATCGGTTATAAGAACCTCAAATTACGCATCACAAAGTCCAAGAATTTTTCGCATTTTCTTCTGCGCCAAAGAAAAGAACAGGAAAAAAGGGGGAAAAACGGAGAAGAAAAGTTTATTGTCGCGGTTTCAGCTTGCTTGCTACTTTTTGAATACTTTTGCCCGCGCGATCATTTGTCATTTTCTTATGCAGAAACTTTTTGCGAGGGTGGCAAAAGAAATTTTCCAACGGGTAGGGGGTGGTGGGAAAAATCGTTGTGCATTTTCACGCTGGCTGCGGTTCACACAGTTTATAATCATTATTATTTATGCAGACTTAATCCACAGTTATTAAAAGGCAGCCACAAGAAACTCCCCTGCCACCGGCAACTGCCTCGTTTAATATTCATTTGCATTCGCTGGCAAATGAAAAGTTTTCAGTTTCTAATGAGTTCCCGAGTTCTCGAGTGCATCGAAATGAAGTCGTCAGGTTAACTTTTCCCTGAACTTTGCACTAGAGATGGCTATCGAGAAGGAATGTGTATCGAGAGGAATATCTCTTGGGATATGCTAAAGAAAATATAGTAAAATATATTAAATATGTTGGAAATATCCAATACATAATGATTTTTTTCTATAAAATCCCTTGCTGAAGTTGCATTTTTCATCGATTTTTACTCTCAATATATATACTCTATCAACTCATCGAAATCTTTTGCCATATCAAATTCAAGCTTAAACTTAGCCGAATTATGTCCCTCTATAAGTCAAGTTCAAGGAGTGAAACTCAACAGCAGAACGTGTTTGAAAATACGAGGGGGAGATGGGAAAGCGCCGAGGGAAAATGGTGGAAATGGCTGAGAACCCCAGAGCCAGAAAACTGGCAGATGGATGCCACTGCCACTGATGATGATGAGGCTGCTGGTGATGATGCTGCTGCTGCTGTTGCTACGATGTTGCTGCTTCTGCTGCTGCTGCAGCTTCAGTTGCAGTTGCAGCTTGGCTTCGTGGAAAGAAAGTTGCCATGGAGAAAATTTAATCAAAATATTTGCACATCCGCCAGCAGCGCCAAGTTGCCAAGGCGACTAGAATTACCAGTCTAAGAAACAGACCAGGGGGAACGGAATGGATTGGATGGGTTTTCGCAGACAGAAAGATGGCCAGACAGATGCAGCAGGTCTTCTTTCCTGAGCAGGTACAGTGGGAATCGCAGCGGAGCCCCACAAATTGAAATCTCAACGAATGGTAATTGAATTTGACTTGGTCCGTGCTTCTGATGCGGCGAAACCAACTTGATTCCGTGCCAGAAAATATCAGGATTAAATGCAATAATGCTTATTACCTTGAGTGCTCTTTTCTTTTATGATTTTTTGGGTCTTGAAATTCATAGATAGTGGAGTGAAAATCTAGTATTTCTTTAAACACATGTGGGTGGAAGTGGAATTTAAGCTACATTTAATGGGAAGCTTGAACAGAGAAGTAAAAGTTTACTAAACATTTACTGCTTCATATA